ATAACATCACATTCTATTCGGTTCCTTCCTGTTAACAAACAAGAGGGTGTCCCGCTCCATATGATCATGCTGTTAGGTTTGTTTGCTCTGTAGAAATCTCGTATGGATGTCCGCCATGCAGTAGAAAACCAAAATCTGCTCTACAGTATTTCACTGAACTTGTTACTCAGGTGAAGAGTGTATTTGAGTGTCCGGACGGCAACGCCTGACTGGGCAAGCCTGTTGCATATGCTGTTGTGTATGAAGGATTTTTAACTCTACAGCTTCCCAAAAGATCTGGGTAGTCTGTTTATAAGCACTGAATAAAGAAAAAAAGCGCATCTGGCCTAACAGTTATCGTGCTTGGTTCCCACGCAAAGGGTTAGGGTTCGATTCCAGGCAGCGGACGTACATTTTTAATACCTCCGAAACTCTCGCATTCTAGTAAATTCGAGAACCCTGTTGCGTATTCGAGGTCCCAACGTTCTAGGCGCCGAATGTTCTACGCCGAACGTTCCAGAAGCTCACGCGTGTACAAAAGGGGCTCCGCGGGGCGAGCCGGGGTCAGTCTCGCCCCAGCGTTCGATCCTGCTGTTACGCCGACTTCGACGCCCGCGACGCTCTCTTGTTATCTTCTGTTTCCTTTCTGTTTTGGGCACAAGTTCCTTCCATTAAACGTTTCACTTTCCTACGTCATTCCTTGCTCGTCGCCTCGTCATTCGCGACAACATTTTAACCGGACGACGCGGAAGTTTCCTCCACCCACGGGGTGCCCCGTGGTACCGAACGCGAGCGGCATGCGACGACACCCTGACGTTGTTGGTCCTTGCCAGCTGCTGCCTTACGACTGGTCAAAACCGTTAAAAGTATTTTTTTTTTACAGCGGCGCTGTTAATGGCTAGTTTCCCCAGTTTCGTGCCCGTGGACAAATAAATCTCGACACAACCCTCTGATCAGCTACCGCCATTTATGATCGACGGCGTCACATAGCACAGCTCCGCTGCTCTTCCTTCTTCACCAGAGTGGAAAGGCTGAATTCTTTTTTGTCCAAAGTAGTTTTTGCTTATCATTTTAGATAGAAAAACAAACAAATGCTCTTTCTGAAATACGGAAACAAGAAATGATCCGTCGTCATACCCACCGCCAAGCGATGGAAAAGGCGCCGCATACTGGAAAAGGGTAGTGGGATAACGCGCAAAAGCGCGCAACGCAATCGCTATGAAGCGGCAAGCATAGAAAGGTCCCGGACGTACGCAGCGGCGCTGCGGTCATATGAGCTGGAGGATCCGACCGGTTCCGAGCGTTCCAAAGGCCTTCGGTGAGCAGGAATTGGCTTGCGGTTTGGTCGTTTGGCGGTTTGACAGCGCGAAGTGGCTCCAGTTCTCAACTGATCTTTACCCCGTGTTTGCTGTCGTTTGTGGCCAATGAAGTGTCATGCCGAATTATACCCTTGTTACACGGGCACACTTAACTGCAGTTACGCTAAGCCACAGTCAGCGCACAATATTTGCAGACAACATTCTGCGGCTATGCAGTCAAAGCTATGGGCGAACGTGCGCTTGAGCATCTTGAGCACCCATCAAAGCAGTGCGCGCGCGCTCTTCACTTCTTCTGATATAGCTGTCCGAGAGTATTGGCGACGTGAGCGATCGAAAGCGTCGCTGTGGTCGGCCCACCACAATTGGCCGAATGCTCACTCTGACGTCAGCAAAGGACGTCTCACAGACGGAAATAAGAGGAATGCAAGAACTTCAATTTTGACGGCGTTGGCAGTGTTGCTTTGAGAGCGTTATGATTTCAGGCTTCCACCATGCCCATTACAAACACCATCGAACTTGTTGTTCACGAGGCAATGACGTCACGAAAGGTAACCGAACGAGGGCGCCACCGAAACATCTCGCCGCTAATAGTGTGATATCTGTGGTGCCGCGCAACAGCAGTTAAGCTGAGTTAACCGCGGTTAAGTGTGCCCGTGTAACAAGGGTATTAGTGTTTAATCGCGCAGAAAATGGAATGCGAGCCGCCCTGGCCGCCCTCTTCATCCATCCATAGCCTCCTCTATACTTACAGAGAATGGCAATCGCCACGAGACGCTGCCGCCGAAAGTGAAAAGGTAGAGCGGCAGACGGTAGTCTAGGGTGCCTGCATGTCTGTCTGTCTCAGGGTGAAGACATCCATTGTTGACCTGAATGTGACAGCGCGTGACGCTCTCGCGCAGACGGTGCTAGACTTGGGCTGTAAAATGGAGTCTATGCATTAGCCAAAGCTACGCGCTCGAGCTGAGTGACACCGTATTGCGTGCACTTCGAAATGCATAAAAAACGATTGGGCGGAAAAATGGCTGAGATGTCACCACTCAAGCAAAAGCGCGCGTGTGTATGAAGGCACTCTACGGTAGTCATGTAACGGGCGCCCCGCTACGGCGAGAAGCCGAAACACACTTGTCACGAGCGATGGAATGTCCCCTCGTGCTTCTCGCGTTTCTCGGTCTACCACTTCTTTTCTCGTCGGGTTTTGAAAAGCATGTTTCGGGTCCTCGCCGCTGCAGAAGCTGTGCGCTGAATACCAGACTCCCAGAGAAATGTTCTGTGCTACCAGATCCTCACACTCCAAATCTGCGACCGGGCACTCTATGGCTCCTCATCGAACTGCCAGGCTTTGCGAGTATAAAGGAGGTTATGATCCAGCCTATCCAGCACATGCTTTAGTGGCGCTCTCTCAAGCCGTCGACACGGAGTGCGGCAGCCGTGAGCGCTCGCTGAGCTCACTACCCCTCCTCTTGTTCACGGCCACCCAATCCAGGACCAGGGACGTCATGAGAGAGGTTATTTTTTGCTTGTTTTTGTAATTCTAATCAGCATATAACATATAAAATAAAGCGAATTTAGAGAAAAGAAAAGTTTCACTAAGTTACGTTCAGTGCGTTCAAGCTCGGTGCAAATTGAAAAACAGTCAAAACGTCGTTGCAGGAAATTGGAAACAGCTCGCAAAAAGACGAAGACAACGAGAGAAGAGCACAGGACAAGCGCTGACTATCAACTGAAGTTTATTTAAAACGGCTCAAACAAGAAAACACCACACAGCCAACCAACGCCGAAACAACCAATGGCGTGTCGCTTACCCTGCGTCTATAAATTCGTGCTTTCTGCGCTTAAAGACCGACGACCAGTTCGCGCTTTCCACTTTCCCCCCGCTTCCTCCTCTCCCTCCTTCTACCCTGTCTACCGTTGGCTGTTTCCTCCTCTTCTATGGTGAGGAGGATCTTCTGCCTTGCAGAATGTCGAGTCTGGTCGTCGGCCTTTAAGGAGTTGGTGTCCCGCAACGGCAGTGACACTCGCATTCGATAGTATATTTTATTTCCTCCTCCTCCTACCAGTACTTCTTTTTTTTTTATTTATTTGTTTTGCGGATTTCAATCATTTGCAGAGGTGGCAGAGATAAAGGCATGATGCCTGACAGCGCAGAGGGGGCAGAGACAGCGTTCTAGCAGCAAGCGCCAGGATCGCGATGAAAAAACGTTACAAGCCAGCTTTTGTGACGCCATTCCTTGCACCTTTGGGACCACGTTTGCTGTGCGGGCGGCGTAGGACTCTAAAAAGCGCACCAGTCAAAAGGGAGTTTTCGTAGATCGTTTTCAGCGCTCCGCAACGCTCTCCGCAGCCCGCTAGGATACCCGCATCTCCACAGTCAAGGCTATCGGCGCGCATGCGCAGCAGCGGCTTCTTTGCTGCGGATTTCTTAGCGGAGGGGGAAACGCGGTCTACGACAACTCCCTAAAGATTTGTTCAAGGTACTGTAGTCGCACAAACGAATGTATCGCTCCGCCGACGCTTGCTTCGGCGTGGCCTCCACCGCGTGAGCCAAAGAAATTCTTGCTCATTTGAAGCGACCGTACGAATCGGTTTCTTAGCGTACCGAGGTTTACGTTTGTACAGAGGGGACCGAAAATGATGTATTTTGTGCATAAATATTTTAGTATCTACGGCGGCAATCCGCTAAAACAAAGGTGTCTGATTGGCGCAGGACCTGACAAATTGTGGCAGCCGTTGACATATATGACTAGAAAGCCTGTACCGTATTTGCTCGAGTAGTAAGTCGTCCTTCTTATCAACAAGTAGTGTGGGTCTGCTTTCCCGCGGAGCACGGGGAAACCTAATCACCGCGATCGACGGAAAGATGACAGCGATTTACGGTACGGAGATAACGTCTTCATGCGAAATCGTTATCTGCCCAGATCGCGTTTTTACGGAGAATCGTGTTCTCGACCTCGTTATTCGTTGCGTTTTTATGCAGAAGGCGATGATTGGCTACAAGCGTGCTGTGCAGGAAAGGAGACACAAGGGCCTTGCTCATAAGAAGTGCGAACATTACTCTTGAAAATGCGGAATTACGGAGAGTTTCCAACAGCTCGATCGAGATCAAATAGTCTATGGACGGCGTTTGCGATAAGAGCTGCGAGGAGGTTTTCGAGAGCGTTGATCGTCTCTCTGTCTTTCCGCCTGCTTTCCTTTTCGCCACGCGAAAACGCGGCACATGCGCAACTGCGATTAAATTTCATAGTCTCTAAAGTGCAATGAATATCATATAGAATATAAATATTAAGAATATATCCGTAATCTAAAATACTATTTTGGTTTTCGGTATGAAAAGGTCGGTGTATTTGTTCTATAACACTTACCGCTGTGTATGCAGCGAAGTCTCGCAACCATTTTAATTTTCTTACTACTGCGTGACGAAGGTCGACGGAGTGATGCTACCATGTAGGATTACACTGTTGCGAAGTTACCGCGCTCTACAATGGAGAGAAACGTAATCCTTTCAAGGCGCACTTTCGTGGTATAGACATTTACCTTGACGCTGTCTGCTTTTCTTCCTACCTCCAGGAGGATCACATTTTATTTTGACAACTTATATTCGTGAACATGTACCACCGCTATAGCAAAACATTAAGAGAGACCAATGGTATTCATGTAGAATAATAATAAATCGCACGTAACTGCCTCTACTTTTTGCCATTCCAGTTGTTTAAGACTCTTAACAACACATATCTTTATCGGAAAGACACCAAATCTTCCAATGAAACTTCGCTGGTTGGAAAACCGACCACATGTTTGTGGATGTTCTGGCAGACAAAGGCGAACATATCTAACGCCAGCATCTTTTTGACCTACACAAATGAAAGGAACAGAACGTAAGCTAACATTTAAGCTTCGCTCCTAAATGAACCGCGACAATAACTTAACAGACTGCTTCTTGCTTTTTTACAGGATAATCGATTTACTATCCGCGAAAAGTGAATCTGAAAACACCTTAGAGTTTACGTTCACTGAGGTGGCTTTAGAAGGTAAAACATCTTTTCCGAATTCAGTTTCGAATGCATCGTCTTCCCCTTCAGGCAGTTCTTTACTCTGGTCATAGGCCTATATAAGAACGTGATATATGAAATACCTTATATCTTTTATGGAGCTTCATCTTCCCACTTTTGCAATAACCCCCCCCCCCCCCCCCTTGGCCCTTCACTCAAGGCATACGATGTCTGCCAAAAGTAATTTCCGACTTTTTCCATGGTCAAAACAGTAAACTTTTTATGTGGACTTCAAACGTAAGGATGGCGCATATGCAACAACTTGTCGCTCACCATATAAGGCGAAATGAGCTTGAACACCGCAACCAACACTGGTTTGTGTCATGTATTAGTCATTGTTTCTAGCGTTGAGCATTTGACTGGAACTGATTGCAAGAAAATCTGCTACGAACGCTCAGGAAGCAGTCGTGTCAAATGATTGCAGAAAGTGCACAGTTAAACTACTCTTCTCCATAAGTTAAGACACAAACGACGGTCGATGCTGCCAGTTTCTCCGACCAATCAAATAGCGCGTGCCCGTAATGCCACTTTAAGCCGGAGTCACACTGCTTATACCCCATCCAAAAGACAGTCTGCATACAGATTTGAACGGGAGTCAGCGCGAGATCCGTGCTTCGAATGCCTCATGGCAATGAGTTCCAGGAGAAAACTTGGCACGCGGCATTCTACCAACGGATATTGTGGTGACTCGTGTTTGCAGACTGTCTCTTGCAGAATATATGAGTAGCGTGAACCCCGGCTTTGGGGATTGCATGCTTTCAGGCAAAGCGGTATTGTTACCAAACGGTCATGTACTGTCAAAAAAAAGCATCCCCCTCTTTTGGTACCGAAGCCCTATGGCGCTTGAAGCCTCATATCGAGTTTCTTCTCATTTATTCAAAGGGTTAAAACAAAAAAGAGGTTGGCGTGTTTCAAGTGCATTTGGGTTGTTTACACGCTTCTAAGAGTGTACAATTATGGCTGGACGTCGATTAAAAAATTAGACCCAATTAATCATCACCATTTAATAGATAAATTATTCGATTAATCGATCTCGTTCGTTTTCATGCATAATATTTTTAGAACGGCAAAATTACTTTTTGTTTTGTTTGCTGAATATGTTTTAAACGGCGCAATATGCAATTTCGATTATGAATCAAGCTCGATGTGTAGTTAAGAACAGTTAAAAAAATGAAAGCCGTTTACAATTCCCTGTAACGCCGGTTAGAGCGCAGCTCTTGAGGAGGAGGATGGAAGCGTACTGAGGGATAGGTGACTCCTTGAGGTCACGTGACCTCAGGGGGGTTGTGTGACATCAGGGAGGTCATGTGACCTCGAAGGAGGGGGTCACGTGACCTCAGGGGGGGTCACGCGACTTCAGGGGGTCACGTGACCTCGGGGTGTCACGTGACCTGGGGGGGAGGTCACGGGACCTCACGGTTACGCCGACGGCAACGGCGACGCCGCTCAAGCCGGAAACGAGCGCCTAAGAGCTCTGTTCTAAAACATTCCCACTCACAAATTCTTACTTCAGCTGCATGATGCAAAGGGGTTCGTTGATATTCTCCGGCACGAGTGACCTCCTTTCATTTCTCACAGTATAGTCTCTGCGGCACATCGTCTGGAGTTACAAATCTCGCTCCTACAGGTTATTTTAAGTAAAAATTTCGCCCAACGTTTTCCCTGCACAGAGGTGTACCCGTCCAAGTTTGTTTGGTGAAAGCGTTCAATTTTTACTTTTTACTTTCTGTTGATTTGTTAAAATTTTACTAATTAACCGGTTAAAAATTAATCACGATTAAAGCAATATTTGAATAATCGGCTCATAGTGCAATAAAAATGTTAAGGTTGCACCAGAAGAACATTATGAATATGGGAGGTCAAGTAGATCACAAATCACTGGTACCATATGACACCCATTAATTTGGAAAGGGCGCGCGTACCCTGTGTATGTTATTGTAGATCTCAGGCATAATACTAACATTGTTATTTCCAAAGAATTCAGCTGTCTTATTAAACCAGTAAAACACCAGAAACAAAAAAAAAACATAAATCTGCAAGAGCTGTTCTAACCTCTTTTGCCGAAATAATTTCTTTTTTCAGAGTTCCAGAACAGGACGGTGAAATATGAGGTTCTGAGTACGAATTCTTCTTGTAGCATTTTAAAGAAACCAAAAACCAGCTCAGAAAGTAAGTGTTTCATTCTAATTTGTGGACTTTTATCGGTCACATTACAACTCAGTAACATTAGTAGGTAATGTAGAACCGAAAATTCCAACTAATCTCAAGTTTTCTTCATTAAGTTGTAATTGCCTAGAATTCTGTAAATTTTAGCGTTGCGCAGACATTTTGAATGCGTCTGTGTCAAAGAAAATCTTTTGCGTTAGTTAGTTTGGCCTCTAAAATAATTCTGCAACTATTAACTGTGGAGTCTACGTAAATTACCATAGAAGACAAGAAACAGTGAAATGTACGGGATATATTTATCTGAGGTTATTCTACCATGTCTTGATTGTTCAAACGCACCTTGAATTGTAGGTTTCAGAAACGGGGACCGAAAAGGGTACAGGCGGCGCGTTACGTTTTTATGTAACGTAGTAATTTACTCGTTACTTTTCCAAAACAGTACCGGTAACGTACATACGAAAATTATTTGTAACAGGCAACGTAGTTACGTTACTTGATACATCTTCCCAGGGCGTGAAAAGAATACACAAATATTTTCGTGTTTCTATATTTTTGTAATAGGCGCTAAGTCATTAGTTATTGCACTCATTCCACGTACCTTCAACATTTTACCAGTGTTTTCCCCGCGCAAAAAAGTCCCACTTTAGAAAAACCCTAACACCCTCACCCTTTGTCTCAGTGTCAAAAAAGCTGTGACCAAAAAAACGCTGTTACCGTCAATTTATATTAAAAAAATAAACCGCAAAAGTCACGTGCGTTGCATTTATCGGTCACGGTAACGCGTTCCATTTATTATGAGGTAGCGTATGTATGTTACTCTTTCCTTTATTTTGCAAGTAGCGAGTAATGTATTTCGTTACTTTTTTTTCGGTAACGCCTACAAGACTGCCTGTAGTTAGCCTCGCACGAGCTTGACAGAGTTTGAATGCGGCTCTACGTTTGACCAATTAAGACAGAGAAAAACAAATAAAACTAGCAAAAAGAAAACCCTTCGCGTACAAAACAATAAGCATTGGCCTATTGATCCTGCACACAAGAGGTAGTGTTGATTCGAAGCACCGCAGCTGTCTTTTTGCCGCCTTTTGTCCGCTCGACTTTTTAGCCGCTTTGAAGGTACAATGAAAACGACCTGGGACCGTTTGCTCCAAGCGCTAACCGCGGCTAAAGTTAGCCGCAGTACCTAGGAAAGGGAGTTTTAAATCACGTGAGTGGCTCGGTAGGGATGCGGGGAAACATGGCGGTGCCCCGGTGAGTGAGCGCCGCTCGCTTTAAAAGTAATATGTCGTTGTAGCTGCAATATCGGGCGCGTTAGTCAGCAACGAAGGGTGCAGGAGGCTTTCGCTTTGCCTTACCTCACTTAAATTGCAAAGCGCGAGCCATGACCTCGCCCCCATTTTAAGATAGTCTTTCAATTCTGGCCATTAATAAGCCTAAATGAACGCGATAATTGTCGGCATGGCAACGTCTTTGGAAAGCGGACTGCCTTGACTCAATCGGCCGGGCATTGATAGCACACAAAAGCAGAGAGCGTCCCAACAGACCTTTTTCGAATGCCTGCCACATCGCTTCCCCTTCTCCGACTCACAACGGCTGGCAACGGCTTGTCGCCGTGTTCAAACAGAAAAAAAAAAAAAACACATTGAAAGTTCAGCTTTTTTGACGGAGCGGTGAGTCGTTCACAAACCACGGCGCCAGTTTCCAAAACCCTTTACGGAACTTCCCATAGACGCTCCTTGCACAAACAGTCCCCCCCCCCCCCCTTTCTATCTCTCCCCACGCCTCGCCTCCCGCAGGTTGAGAACTCCCACTGTTCGAAGCGCAACGTCTAGATCACGTTCTACCGTCCCATACGGAACACACAGTTTTGAATCGAAAATCTAGACGGTGCTTCGAACGACGGAAGGTGGACTGGAGGGAGTAAGCGGGGTACCGCCCCTCCATGAGAGTTCTACAACTGAGGTAATCTACTAACGTTGATGCGTGCTGCTCAAGATGCGTAACCGCACGTTCGCACCTAGGTTTGACCACTTTGACCAACGTTATTAAATCAACTTAGTTATGGAACTCCCTTTCCCGCGGAACTCCTGTTCCGCGGGAGTTCCTTAAGTCCGCCACCAAGAGCCTATTTTACAGAGAGTTTCCGACTGTTCGGTCGGGGTTACATGGTTTATTGCAGACAGTACAAACTGCGAGGAGGTGACCAAAAAGTTAATCGTTGGTAAACGTTTCAGCCTTTCTCCTCGTTTTCCTCCTCGCCATCCGACAACGCAGCGCATGCGTACTTGTGACCAATGTCCGCGGGATGCGTCTGACATTAAATTGCAAACGCTCCCTATGTTTTGATATAGACCCCCTCTACAATCTAGGCTCTATAATGCCACCCTTCGTTCGCCTTGAGACGCCACGATTGAGCCGCCTTGAGACGCCACGATTTAGCGCCATTTAGCAGCACCATCTAGAGTCAAGGCCGGAGTGCTCCACCTGTGACGTCACCACTGGAGGGGGGCCGAGACGGGCCGGGCGGCAAATTGTAAAACCATGGGGTAAATTGAAGGCCCCAATTGGCTCTCGTGAACAGGAGGCCTGCAGACGACGGTGCTTTCGTGCTCTTTACTTATTGGTGGAGATAAGACGGCGCGTGACATTAAACAGAGCTACGCTGACGGGGGTGACGTACTTACAGACGACCACCAAGGATCGTAGGTACACGATGGCGGCTGACAATGTTTTCAGGTGAAACAACGGTAGTTTTGGCGGCGAAAACATCCCAACAACGCGTGGTGGGAGCGCTGAAAGCGTCGGCCTGTGTGGCAATAATCCGCGTGTAGAAGCACAACGCGAATATAATAGGGAGTTTTAGAATAGGGGGCCCCCACGTCCGGGGGTCCCCCTAAGAAATAAGTTCTCGTCACTGCGCATGAGCGTAAACCCAGATGGTTTCTGGGTTAGCGCTGCCCCTCAGACCCCAAAGGCAAAAAAAAAAAAGTGTCTAAAGACAAGCTTTTATTGATACAAACAACTTTTATTATCTAGAATGTATTTTAGAAATAACAGACGGGCTAGGAAACAAATTTTGTTGCACGGGAAGCCATTGGGCGCCGCGGAACAGCGCTGGCACGCAAGCATTGAGAGTGGATTCGTATTCGTAGCTACGAGTTTTAGGAGCGCGGCTCTTAGGCGCCCGTTCCCGGCTTGAGCGGCGTCGCCGTCGCCGTCGGCGTAACCGCGAGTAACCCTCATAACCCTCGTGAGGGTTACGAAGGTTACGAGGATAGGGACTGAACGAGCGGGTTGGTATGGATAGTTAAACTTGAGGAAGAAAACGAGAAAGGACGGACAAACACAAACTTGTTTTGTGTTTGTCTGGTTTGTCCGTCACGTAACCCCCCCGGGGCACGTGACCTGGGGGCCACGTGACCCCTTCCCGAGGACACGTGCGTGACCCCCCGTTGACGTCATCGCCATTGATGACGTCATCAGTGACGTCACTGATGACATCACCGGCATCCGCATCGTCATCATAACTGATGACGTCATCAGTGACATCACTGATGACGTCACCGGCATCCATCGCCATCATCACTGATGACTTCATCAGTGACGTCACTGATGACGTTACCAGCATCCGTATCGTCATTATCATCATCACTGATGATGTCATCAGTATCCGCGTCGTCATCGTCACTGATGACGACGCGTTCTCAGCTCTTGAAGGTATTCATGCTGTCAAGCCACCGCCACAAGTAAAATTTTGATATTACCACCTAAATGAACGGTCGAGTGAGTGATGGATGCTTCTGGACATCGTTTGAGATACTTCGTGAAGTCTCTCGAGCCACAGCCAAAACAAAACATAAAAGTCGTCGCATAAACACACAATCAAGGACGAACACGCACACATGACATGAACGAAAGAATCAAGACACAAACGCTGCATAACGGAATGCACTTTTGGAAGCCGGCAGTGCGTTACATAAACAGAAACGACTTTGTCGTGCTTGGGCTCGCCGGTTACTTTTACGAATCCTCTTATGCATCGTCTCGACGTTCTTCGTAGACCCTCGAATCTCACAAAGAGACCCAAGGATGACCAAAAGGGAACGACCGAACGTCCCGGGTAGAGACCCATGTGGTTCCACTTTCCGAGCTGATGGCAGCGGCGCGACGACAGTCGGCCCTTGGGTCATTAGGCGGTGGGGTGGTCTTTGTCGGTGTACATAATATACAAACCTACAATCGCAAACTAAGAATCAACTAAAGATTTACCAGGTTTTTTTTTTTTTTTTAAACCGCTAATTCATACAGACAGATGAATTTAAAATTATATTTCCAAACATTTTAAATACGGCAGCGCGATTACCGTTCGAATATCCGACTGTCCGAAAAGAATGAAGAGCTAAAAAGAAGAGCCTAGACCAGGGGTGGCCAGCTGCTGCTAGCGAGCCGCATGCGGCTCTTCGCCTGTTAAAGTGCAACTCGCGGCTCCCTCCCCCACCCCCCCCCCCCCCCCGGCCCACACACACACACACACACACTTTCCCGCCTCCCTCCCGATCACAGGAGCACTTCCCCGGAAAGAGAGACGGAACACGTCTTTAAAGGCCGACGACCAGACTCGAGATTTTGCAAGGCAGAAGATCCTCCTCACCATGGGGAAAAAGGAAACAGGCAGCGAGGAACAGGGTAAAACGGGAGAGAGGAGGAAACAGCAGAAAAGTGGAAAGCGCGAACTGGTCGTCGGTCTTTAAGCGAAAGACAGGTTGCGGTTTTGTTAGTTTTGTGCTACTGCCACCTTACGTACAGTTGAACTGCTTTTTACTCGGATAGATTGAAAGTAGTCCGAGCCTTCGTTTACTGCTCTAAACAAAAAAATTGCCCCCCCCCCCCCCCCCGGCGGGTCATTAAAAGCTTTGTGTGTGTTTTTTTTTTTTTTTTTTTTTTTTTTGTTTTTTTTTGCGGTTCTTGGGTCGGGTCGGCCTGGCCACCCCTGGACTAGACCAGTGTTGTACGGAACGGCGTTCCAAGGAACGGCGTTCCTGGAACGCGTTCCTTTTAGGAGGAACGAAGGAACGCCGCCGTTCCTTTATGCATCGCTGGAACTGGAACGGGAACGCGTTACATTTTTACTGGAACGGAAGAAGTAACGGCGTTCCTTTTTTCATCCAGTGGGGTAATTTTTTATATTATTTAATTTTTTATATTATTTCCCACAGAGAAAGTATGAAAGTACGAACACAATATCTTTACGACGTGCAGGATCTCTCTAACTTTTTGGCTACTAATATTGTGGATTATTTTGTGTGGTCCTCGCTTGCTAACAGTTTCGGGTGCAGGAGAGCTGGTGGGCATTGATACTTTTTTGAGTGCCCGAAACTGCGGTACAAAAAGCAAAACTTTTAGTCGTAGGAAAAGAGAAAGAAAGAGGGTTGTTTCAAACTCAGCTACTTCTTTTGGTTCCACGAATCCTCATACACCTAGAAATCTTATTCCGACTACAGCCATTTTTGAACTTCAATAACGAGACCTACAATTACAACAAGATCACAGATTGCCAGATTTCGGACTCACCCTTGTATCCCGAACATTATTCACTTAAAAGATACACACAAAAAAACACACCTTTATTTCTTCTCTTGTCCCCTACCTTCAAAAACAAATCCAACATTCACAACGAAGTATTTATAGCTTTGAAGACTGACTTTCCAAAAGCCCTACTCTCGCCTTCACTTGCTCGTCTTGCGGACAGCAACATCGGGAAGCAACTGTTAAGTTCTAACTCGGGACCCTGTTAAATTGAACCGTGTGAGGTTGTTGTAAAACGCTTGCGCAACCTTGGGTAAAAGTACATTTGGCTCGTCTGAATTGTCCACTACAAACATGGACATGGTTAATAGCTGAGATTTTTAACATGAATTAATCAACAATTGAAATCCTATTCCGCGTGTTTTCTACTCCTGGTGCCCTTCCATCACAACATACAAACTCGTATGTTGACTATTAATGGGATAGATAAAAAAAAAACTCTGCTTGATTTAACTAAATATGGTAATTAGCAAAAAATACAAATGTAACGTATATGTAACGGTACGTTCCATTTTTGAAACTGTAACGGGAACGAGTTCCTTCTTCACAAATGGAACTTGTAACGGGAACGCGTTCCAAAAATCAGAAGGAACGAGGAACGAGCTTTCGTTCCTTTTTTTGAGGAACGTGTACAACACTGGCCTAGACCAAGGCAAGGCCCATGGAGAAGCCCAATTTCCGGGATTGTTTCCTCTTTCTGACGCTCGTGACATCATGCCTCCAAGCGCTGCAGCCTTCCTTGGTGTTGCATTTAGACGCTGCAGTGCTTCAAAGTCTGTTTAACCTAAGTCACCATAAGAGACGTTCCCCAAAAGAAATAGTGACGCCCCGAATGACGGGAGGCGGACCTTGGTGGGAGGGTACTCCTCGTGGAAGCAGCGTTTATGAACAATTCCGTAACTGAGTTAATTTAAAAACGTTGGCTTTGAAGGCACTCCCCAGTAAGCTGTTAAAGAGTATAATGAGTAAATGTGATTAAGTCTGACTACAGTTGCCACACCATACTCTGAGACAACTTTCTGGGGCTATACAGTCGAAGCTATGGTCGAATGTGCGCATCTTGAGCGTCCATTAAGCTGTGCACACGCACTATTAATGCGAAAGCATTAACTGTCCCATGGAGCGAGCTGACGTCATCAGTTTGAAGCGCGAAAACGGCACCTAGTTTCCCCTATCCCAAATAAAAGAAGTGAAGAGCTGATGGACTTCGCCTTCGGTATCATTGGCTGGCGCGCGTCGACGGGGCTCTCATTGGCCGCTGCGCTTGTCAGTTTCCACGACCGCTCACCTCATGGCGCTGCGTGTCCATCAGCGCGCCGTTAACACGGAGCGTCCAAGGTCAGCGTGCCCAAGGGAGCACGCGCGCTGACCGGCGACGAAAGGTAGGCAGGAGACGAAAAAGGAAGCGGACGAGCGGCTTGCATGCTTTCGCATTCACAACTCATAAAAAGTGCTTAGATGTACCTCGAGCTTTTTAACTTATTCCTAAATAGCTCTCTGAGAATATAATGCGGGAACGGCGGTGAAGCTTAACCGCCGTTAAGGGCGTGCCCCTATAACTAGGGTATAACTAGGGTACACAACGTTCTCAAACGGTACGTGTGAGCCACTTTCATAGAGTGCCGCTAGAGCTCACCACGACAACCGCCCTCGTGATCACTAAATACCTCAACCTACGGTTGATAGCTGACGTCACGTCCTGTTCAGGAGAAGCTTTTTGAAGTCAAAACAAAACGTTAGTTTTGCTTTCGTCAATTTTTGTTTTTACCCAAATGAAGTTTTATTTAAAAGACTTGAGCAGATTGCTAGGTTCTACAGGATCGGATAATACCCGTTAAAAAAAATGTCTGAAAAAGTCCTAATTTTCCTTTTTTGCGCCTAATTTCTAAAATGTTCAACTTTCCTTTTGGCGAAGTATTGTGCAAATTGTTATGGACGTTGCAAAGACTGCGAAGGAGAGCAGACAAGTGTAAGGCCTATTGTTTTGTTCCAGAGTGTGCGTACTGGGTCCTGTACACGGGTGGAGGTGGCAAGGTTGCAAAATCGTGCAAACCGCCCAGGAATCATACGTGCGATGTAGAGATACACACCCTCCGAAACCCTGGGAGATGCAAGGAAAAGCGCTGAACGATTTCGCCAGGAGTGTTTACACCTAAACCTAAGTAGTTTACGTTTGTCCTAAAGCGATGTGGTTTATGTATAGAGTATGGGAGACAAAAACTATTGAAGCATTTAAATTTGGAAAAAGTAAAAGAAAAATAAAGGCGTCGCCAAACACGAACGAGTGACATTCACGCTTTTAGCGCAAGCACCTTAATTGTAATGGCATGGAAACAGCATAATGATTTTTTTCGCCATACTGGCAGTGGCGCCGTTGAAGATGGCAACAAAGACAAAATACAACAACCAAAACAATAACAACAAAACAAATAAGCCTTTAGTTGTTTAGACAGGGGGAGTTTAGTCAGCCAGTGCATGGAGACATTGTTACCCACTGTACATGAGTAATTTAGCCAGTGCAGTAAGACTGCTAGCCAGGGGTGATTAACGCGCATAACGTAACAGTAAAGCGAGACACACATGCGAGTCAAAACTGTCCAACCCGACGTGCGAACTGTCTGACCGACGGTCAAACACGAGGGTTTTCGTCTCACCGGAGCGTCCAGCTCCGACATGCGACCAGCTCGCCAGATATTCGCCGCACGGCTGTTTGATTGTCGGAGGTCCGCAGCCAATGGCAGCACAGATGGCGCAAACGTCACGTCGTCACGTGACTATCGGACCGATCAGAAAAGAAGGTGCTACGCGGACTTAAGACCGAAGAAATGTTTGCAGAAATAATGAACGGACTGACGGCAATTCACATAGAAATCATAGAACTAACGACACGGCAAGTTGCTGCTGAAGTCTTGATCGGCAAGATGAATGCAAGGCTTGTTGAATTTGATAAACTACTCTAAGAACGCAGGCAAAAAAAAGAACGAAACGAATTCAGGCACTCCAACGTAGCATCACAGATCTCAAAAGGACTGCCAATTTTCGAAGTGGGAAACCTACAGAACTCGAAGGTCGAAGCCGTAGATCAAACTTGGCTGTCAACCGGATCGGTTAGACGAAAGATGAAAGGGAGGTTCAGCTTAAGGCTAAAGTGATTACAGACGTTCTGGGCGGCATACTAGGAGTAACCTGCAACTCTATTTTAAGGATCCACAGACTAGGCAAATCTGGTGATAGGAGACCTGTCATCTTTCAAGATTTTAATGAAAAAGTAGCAGTACTTCGATATGCCATGAAGTTAAAAAATACACGCATATTCATTCGCAACAACTATACACTAAGTACACTGGCAAACCGTCGGTCGCTTTGTCTGAGCACCAAGGACTAAAAGAAGCAAAAGAAACAAGTTTTGTCTTTGGTCATGACCAACTCCGAATCAATTATGATTGGTACATCTGGGATGACGTTGCTAATATCCGTGCTCGCTTACCACCATAGCGGCGAAGTGCCAGTGAATGACGCTTATGTTCTACCGTATCTGAACGACTCTGCATTTTAAACATAAACGCAAAAAGCATTGTTAACGAAGTTGAAAAACTGGAACTTCTTTTATTGAATTATGGCCCTCATATTTCTGTAATAACTGAAACGTGATTGCATGATAATATTGGCGATGACAGTGTTGTCCCTCCATCCTACAAGAAATTCCGTAGACACCGTCCATCACGTGGTGGAGGGGTTGCTGTAATATTGTACAGTAATAATCACGCAATCAATAATCAGTAATAATCAGCAATAATCAATAATCAAAGTAATATTCATGCTGTGCTTTTAGATCAGATCGAGAATCATGACAGCGTATGTATGAAGCTGAATTGCTGGTGTAACAATATTGTTCTGTACGCTGTGTATAGAGCTCCCAATTCTCCACCCGACTTTCTGAATCAGTTATATAACCACATATCCTTGTGCAGGAACAATAGGCTTGAAGTCATTGGTGATTTCAACCACCTCTCCAGACATATATTGCATAATTTCTTCAGCATGACCCACATGTTACTGTCGTAACCGAGACTTGGCTACATAGTAACATTGCCGACTGCGAAGTCTTTCCAAGGGACTATAGCGTGATACGGAAGAACAGAGAAACTAGAGGAGGATGCGTTGCCATTCTCATAAAGGACTCTCTAACGCATGAGGCGTTGCCTGGTATTAACGACCATGAGAGCGTATGGTGTAAACTACTCCTTGACAAGATGATCTTGCTAATTGGTGGCGTGTATAGGGCCCCGGCTACTGAAATTAATTTCCTCCAGAAAATAAACGATTATTTAAAAACAGAACTAAAATTATCCTAACGGGCGACTTTAACCTGCCACATATTGATTGGCATGAACTACGCCCAGGCAGAGCGGATAGAGTACATGGAGAATATTTGTTTGATATAATGCTTAAATATGGACTGACCCAAGTAGTTAAACCAACAAGAATTCAAGGATCATGTCCATCTATATTAGATATCTGCCTGGTATCTGGTTACTTTTCGAATTACAAAGTGTGTGTAGAGCACGGAATTTCAGATCGTAAAATGGTTATCTTGACAATAGAGTTGAGCAGTTTGCGCTTTCAGAAAAAGGACCCTAAAATTGTTTATGATTTCACACGAGCAGACGACACATCAATATTAGATTATCTCATGCTATCTTTAGGCCGCATAGATAAAAATAATGACGTAGATTATTTGTGGGGCTATTTCTCAAAAGCAGTCGCTTACTGTCTTGAAAGATTTGTTCCGAAAAAAAAAAACAATAAAAAGAAACAAGTCTAATCCATGGATAACACGGGACATAATTCACCTTAAACGTAAACTAAAACGAAAAAGAAAGCAGAAAAATGAGAACGCTCTAGAGATTGCTAATCTAAGCCGTGAAGTACGATCAACGGTCAAGGCTTCTAGAACAGAGTTCTTTTCGGCTACCTTGAACGATTACTTAAGGGATTCGCCAAGCAGATTCTGGCAGTATCTGTCATGTAAGGAACTTAGAGTTAACAAAATCATAAAAGATGGAAAAGTATGCAACAATCCAGCAATTGTGATGACTGAATTTAATAAGTTTTTTTTTTTTCAATCTGTTTTTACCGAAGATAATGATCGTGAAAGTGTCATAACTAATGTTACTGGTCTGCCTGAAACAGAGATTGTAGTCTCGTATGAGGGTGTTCTTTCTATGCTACTGAATATTGATGTAAAGAAGCACCGGGTCCAGATAACATTCCAAATGAATTTTTGAGACTTTACTGTCTAAGAGTTACTGAGTTTTTAGTACTTATTTTTCAAGCGTCATTGAGCCAGAGGAGGCTACCTAAGGACTGGTTACTTCCGCGAGTAGTCCCTATTCATAAATCCGGGAGTCGACTTGATGTTGGAAATTATCGGCCAATATCTCTCACTTCTACTGCCTGCAAACTTCTCGAGCATATTATTTGTAAGCATCTCACAGATTTCATCGAACAGAATTGCTTGTTTTACGAAAAGGCAACATGTTTCTAGAAGGAAGTTATCAACTGTCACCCAGTTATTTGAAGCGACTCGTTATTTCTCATTATTTTAAATGAGCGTGGTCAAGTAGATGTGATGTCAATTGATTTGTCAAAAGCATTTGACCGAGTCACGCACTCGAAGCTGCTAAAAAAAATGGTTGCATTTAGGGGTAAGTACGCCTATTGTTTCTTGGATCAAATCTTACTTGTCAAACAGATTTGAATTTGTTGAGATCGGGGGGAAACTTCCACGCTACTGCCAGTTATTTCCGGTGTGCCTCAGGGTTCGGTTTTGGGGTCAATTTTGTTTCTTGCGTATATAAATGACATTGCAATTGAAATTCATTCATCCGTTGAAAAGTGCGATTTTGCAGAAGATTGTCTAATGTACATAAAAGTTAATTCACAAAGGGACCAAATGTTATTAAATGACTCGTTAATAACTATGCACGAGTGGTGTCACAAATGGGATATGAAGATAAATTTTGAAACGACAACTTTTGTAATAATACTTTAAAAAAACAAGCGAGCCTGGATGATTCATGGTAATAAAACCCGAGACTCAGGAACACAAAAGGGGACGAACAGAACACAACGTCTCAAACACAGCTGAGCTGTGTTTGAGACGTTGTTTTGTGTTCGTCCCCATGTGTTCCTGAGTCTCGGGTTTTATTACCATGGGACAACTTTTGTAACAATCACAAAAAAGAGGTCGCCTAATATATTTCCGTATTCCTATAATGAAGCACCTTTGAAACAATCCGAAACTTTTAAATACTTAGGAGTAATAATTTCAAACGATCTAAACTGGAAGGTACATATAGAGAATGTCTGTAGTGCGGCTTTGCGAAAACTTGGGTTTTTAAGAGGGGCACTCAAAAATACAACGCCTGAAGTTAAATTATGTGCGTATAAGACTCTAGTTCGATCATCTCTTGAATACGCGTACGTGGTCTGGGATCCACCTGTCAAATACCAAATATAACAACTTGAGCGTATCCAGCGACGTGCAGTAAGATTTGTTTATTCGAGTATCGCCGCACGGAATCGGTAACAGAACTATTAAAAAAAGCGTGGCTGCCAACCTTGGGTCAGCGGAGAAAGATTGGAAGGTTAAAATCTTTTCTATCATCTTTACTGGGCATTATAAGATCAGTTCGAGTGACTATATACAGCTTCCTGGTAGAAGGTCACCGAGAGTTAATAGCCAGTTTGGAGTCAAACCGTATTTCCCAAATCTCGATGTTTTTAAGTACTCTTTTCTTGTAAAAACAATTGAGGAGTGGAATAGTTTGGATGGCGACCACTTTGTTTGGATTGACAGTGCCGATAAGTTTGAAAGTGTAATATTTGACTTGTATGCGGAGACATACTAGTATTCTTTGGTGGTGGTGACTTTCGGTGGTGTTGTTGAACCGAAATTGTACTTAAATGATTGTGTTGTGGTGATTGTTCTTGATGTTCGGTTCTTTATTGATGTACACTCCTGAAACAGCCCGAAAGTGCTTTCAGTATTGTAAATAATTAAAATAAATAGATATTGAACTCGTTTGTCAGGTGATATATGTCAGCGCAGTGAACTTGTTTTT